GGAGGTTTCCATTCAAAAGCCTGTACCAAACAGAGCTAAGCTGTTTTGCTGTATCTACAAACTCCACTTGTGTTAACATGGTATCCGAAGAGGCTATTGCTTTAGTTTTAGTGATATACACATGGAATGCTTGAATGTCTTGACTGATGTCAAAATGAGACTTAAATTAGCGCTGTAGATTATCACTTCATTTACTTGGATGAAAAAGGGAAAGAAGACTTAGGTGTACAATTTTCAGTAAAAAAATCTTTCAGATAAACTTACAGCTACATGACAAGTTATTCCTCTTTATGTATAAAATGACACTTTTGTTATATTGCATTGCACAGCTTTGGAGTATAGCAGCTGATTAATACTGTATGGCACAACCCTAGAGAACAATGCTAAAAGGAGCACAAAAAGTATGATCTAAAGTAAGCGCTGCTAGAGATTAAAGCAAAGGGCATTTTAATACTGGCCATCAAAACTGGATTTAGAATAACTGTTTTCAACCATGAATGTACTGACATATGCAGGTTTGTGGCTGAAAGAATTAGGCCTATTTTAAAATGTGAACTGTGATAATGTTTTACATACCATATGTTGTTTTTAATGGCTTCACTCAAAGTAAGATCTCACCCACACACAGAATTAGGGCACAGAATTTTTAAAGATAATTAAAAACAGAAAATCTAAAGGCGATGTAATTCTTTCCTGATATACTTTCATCTAGTTTAAAGATGTAAAAAGAAAAGAGAATTGCTTTTGGCTAATAATAAAACTAAATTGTGTTTTCCTTTCAAATACGGAAATTTTCCCTTGTAACAAACAACTCATCACCTTCACTCCAGGTCTTTTGATTTGTCACACTAGCAATCCAATCTCAGCTTTACCCTTAGTCATTCTAAAATCCAGATCTTAACAGTTCTTTTTGCGTCTTTATAAATCTCTCTCATACGGGGCAATTCCCTAAAGATGCTCATGACTGTGACAGATTTAGCAGTATTTATATATCGTATAGCTTTATACCAACTATAATTTGCATTATTTCCATTTTGAGCAACATAAATAATTCTTGTTAACTGCAAATTGAAAAAAATAATTAACCAGAAATGTAAAACAAAGTTAAATCCTATCTTTAACAGTAGTTTAATCATTTAAAAACCTAAACACATTCCAAATGTTAATCACAAAAAAGATATTTGATGAGTGGAATAACTGGAGACATTTTGCTCTCTAAACATTCCACTTAAGGGTTTAAGGACAAAGGGTTTTCACATCATGTAAAGAGGAAAATGGTAATAAATGAGGAATATAAAATGCAGAGGAATTTGAACCTTTATTTCTATAGTGCATCAGTCTACACAGACATGATCTGGGCTAGTGCAGCAAAATGCTTTCATCCAACAGGTGTGTGCTGCTCTCTAGTGCACGTCTTCTGTAAGTGCAACTCATTTTCCTGCCATTTTTAAACTTCAAGGGTTAACCCCTGAGGAGTCAGTGTCCTGTGGTAAAGGAATAAATGTTCATTCAGAGATTCTGGGTATTTAGCTAAAGTTGTGCATACTCTTTGTTTTTTCCACGATTGACATTTTCAAGTGGAATATGCAAAGTCAATCAAATGTTAAAATACAGCAGAGGTGAGACAGATTTTGTTGCCAGGACAGATTTATTGACAAAGCCTCACATGATGCATGCAGTCAGTCTTCTTACAGTTTCTGAAATTATCAGGTGAATTACAAGAAGTAAAAATCCAAGTATTTTTTAGAATATATTCATTGTCTAAGAACATCAGGCAGCACTGCATATCAGCAGCAATAACTTGGCTTGAAATCTTAAATACAGTCTGTGGTGGCGAATAGTTTATTTTACTTCAGACAAATAAGCTCACTTCAGTTTATAGTTGGAGGGTTTACATTTCCAAAGCCTTTCATCTGCTGTAAGAGGAGGATGAAAAATTATTTGACATTAATAATGGCCTCCCACTAAAGTGTTTTGGAAAGGTAATATGGATCTTGCCAAAACGCAGTACACTCCATGCTTTGTAGGGATTAAGCTTTGTGTAGCTCTTTTGAGGGTATTATGAAACACAACAAAGGGAAAAGACTGTGGTTCTGGTTAGGCAGCCACAGCAGGACAGGACAGAGGCTGGACTCCTTTAATCTCCAGAGCCTTGTTGAACTGCACTTCCATGGTCTTAGAAGCCTTAGTGATCTTCAAGTTCTTCATACAACCCCTGAAAGAAGTGCTGGTAGAAAGAGCTGCCTGACGAACTCCATCTAAAAGAAAGAAATGAGTGGGAAACAGGCTTCTCCCTTACAAGGTAATAAGCATTTTTCTCTTAATACCTGCAGATTTACAATTTAACTGATGGTTGAGACTATAATGCTTGTTCAACTACATTGTGTTCATAGATTGTCGAATTGGATATGTGTGGGGTGTTTAGTGGGGCCTACCAGGATATCCTCCAACGTAGATGGGGTTGTTGGTGTCGCAGGTGTTGGAGCGGGCATTAGGCGACTGCGCCTGGCTCTTCCTGCCATCGACCACCAGCTCCACTCGGTGCCGAAGCTTGTTGGCTGTGACGGCGTGCCACTGACCGTCACAGAAGCCTTGGCCCTCAGGCTGGTGCTCTGCTGTGATTCGTCCAGCTCCATTATCCACGTGGAAGAGCAGCTGAGGGGAAAATACAGAGCCTTTTTTCCAGATAACGGTAAGAACAGAAACTCAATGTGCCATCATCTTGTTTTAGATAAATGACCTAGGGTTGCTTCAGTGGATTAGGAAGATGTCCAGAAAGGTTATGAGCACAAAATATTTAAGCCCAGATAGAAATATATATTCTTTTCTGCCTGACATAAATGTTCAATTTGAGGTCTTAACACAGGATTTGATCTAGAATTTAAAGACAGACACACCTGAACATCCTTTCTACTCCTAAATAGAACTGAAAAAAATGCGTAGACCTTTAATTGCACATTTATGCTCCTCTTGGTGCAGGAAACTTGTTAAAGTTTACCATCTTTGTGAAAGATTGATCTAATTCTGGATGTTGTAACATTACACTAAAAACAGTAGTGATTAAAGGAATAGTTTGTGTAGAAATATCTTTTATAAGAGGAAGTTTGAGCATCATTACACAGGCAGTTTTATCTATTGTTTTTGCAAAGGAAAAAAATAAGCAGCCTTAACAGTTCTTTGAGTCACTGTTGAGTACCTTTCCCTGGACGATCTCTAGACCCAGTCCATCGTTGGCTTGGTTGCTGACAGCCAAAAGCACTCCATTGGTTTTGCTTGTCCGGAACTCCAATGCTATTGACACATCGAGGCCCACCCTATAGGAGGAGACTGGCCGAGAAGAAATGATTGAAGCAAACCATTTCCTCTCAGGTGCTTGGTGGCTAAAAAGTGGTGTGTCAGCTGACCTGCTTTTATATAGCCAGTGCCATCAAAGTAGGTGCCTGCTTCAGTCGCAACAAAACATCGTCCAACCAGGTGACTGGAGGTGGGTGATGCCATGTTCAGTTTAAAGTCTTCAAGGCCAGCATCAGTACGTCCTGGGACCAGAAAAGAAGTGTGAAAAACCTAAATAATCATAATGGACTCCATGCTATATGACCTGTTTAGATCCATACCTGCAGTAGATGGCTTGGTGCTTACAGGCCCTCCAACCATATTTAAGTTACGAATGCATCCGTTGATGCTGTAGACGATCTAGGAATAGAACATGTATAATACAGTACATGATTTTAAGATTTACTGGAAATAATGCATGTTTGGACTGTCTTTTACATGCATCGATAACATGTTAGTATTAAGATATCTTGTTTTTCAGTGTCCGTTTACCGGTCCTATTCTCTTTGTGGTATAGTCTTGTGGCAGCCCCCCAACATAAAGCAGGCCAACCACGTCCAGCAGGTCCGCCTGGAATAGAAATTGATTAATGCAACATTTAAAATGTTAATTGAGTATTTTTCCCTCTAACTTGATAATTCAGCTTTCGTGTGCTTCATCCTGAAACCGTTTTTGAATAAAATATCCACACACCTTCTTTGGACTGGTCATCTGTTTGCTGTATCGCTCATCAACAAAAAGTACAGCACGCTGCTTGGCACGAGTCACGCGAATCTGCGAAGGAGAAGAAAAGATGCAATTTATTTGCCCCAAAAATGGAAATAGCTGAAACACATTTGGTATGACTCTACCAGAGGGGCACAGGACCATACAGAATGTGAACACACTGGTTTGGCAAAATCATCCAGTTACATTTAAACTGATGAAAATGCGTATTGGAGACATTACAAAAAGCTGAATGTAATTTCTGAATAACTGGAGACCATCCTACCTTGTGCCAGTTACCGTCATTGATGGAGTAAGGGACGCAGCCAGAGGTGTTTCCATGACCAAGATCATAACCAAGACAAACCTGTCCTTCCTTGATCTATAAGAAAACACACATTTACAAGAGCCAAGCATTTTCAAAATATTCCTCAAGCAACAAGTTTCTTCAAGCACGGGGCAGAAAAGAGACAGAAGTTGGCCTTTGTGAACCAAACCACTTTTTGTAAATGGTTAATAAACACAGACTCACCTGTATGGACACAAAATCAGCATGGTTGATTCTCGCCATGTACAGCACGAGACCAGACTGCTCCTTTGTCCTAAGCTCAAACGCCAGTACAAGCCTAGTGTAGGATAAAGACCAGTAAGAATTTGACCCTTTTACACTTTGAGCCATCAAAACACTTCTATCAAAACTGTATCCTACTTTTAAAATTTGGATCATTTGTAGGCCAAATGCTCACAATAAAATTGGGCTTGCAGATTTGGAAAGTCAGCAGAAGCTTCACACATGGTTAAATGATCACAGTAACTATGTGTGATATCTACTTCAAAACAGAAAAATACTCAGGTAAGGAAAATATTAATTGTGATAAAATGTGGCCATAAATTGATATTTTAAGCTGTAATTTGAAGCAAAAACAAATTTAAGGGTTACACTAGCTGTATTGGATATAGTCAGAAACCAGACTGGATGTATTTTACAGGTTTCCATTCACGTAAGTAGTATTGTTCAATCAACAGTACATTAAAAAGTTCAAATAACAGAACAAGTTGATGACTATTTACTTCAGTCTAACCTTTCTCTGACTTTGGTGTCATCAAAAGCGAAGCTCATGTGGCTGTTCCTGGTCAGTCCAAACTGGAATGCCTTCTCAAGTGCTGTCGGGGCCACAGCTGATGCACATGAATCCTAGAAATTGGACATAACATGTCAGCTCCCATGACAGGGTCTCCCCACACTGCTCCCACTTGCTTTAGTCACAGGGAAGCTTGACCACCCAGGCAGAACTCATGCCAATCACAGTAATAGGGTTCCTGTTTCTGATCTGCTAGTACCCAAGGGGTCGACATATCCAAACGCTCTTCCTTTTTTTATTTTAAATTCACTAAGATTTTCTTATAGAGCCCAAAATAACTCAGCACATCCAAGTACTTTATTTTCCAAGTTCAAGAAAATTGCACTTTTAACTTTTAGTGCATTTAAAAATATTTAAGCTAAAACACTTCAAATATATCTAAAAATATAATTTA